TTGCTCCTGCAATTATAAAAACAGTGACTCCACATACATGCGTTATAAGCAGTGTGATTCTTTGGGACCCAAAGTCCAATACAGTATAAATAACAAGCTTTATTCCTTATTTGCAGACAGAGCGCAGTCAGCAGGGCCTCACCATCCCTCAGATATGGAGTGAAAAGCTGGCAGACACACCAAGGGTTTTTCTATTTATTGTTTTATGACAAACCATGGCACTGAAAATGGTTTTTTGAAAACCACTCTCTGTTTATTTTCATCAACAAACTTGGGATCATGTGCCAACGATACACCCAGTGTGATCATCACAGCAGGGTAACAGTCAAACACCGGGAACTTCCAAAGTCCGTTCAGTTCTCAGGTTGCCTTCAGTAGACACAGCACCCTAGTTCTAGCATATTCGTGGTTTTAAGAGTTCTGTAGATTTTCTCAAAGAAGGGGTCTGGGCAGGAACAAGCCACTGACAGGGAAACAGACCATGGGGAGAGTCAGTTCCATTTCTATTTGAGGGTGTCTCAAAGGTCCAGTGCTCCTAAAGTTTCTTCTCTGATGTCCCACACCCTGTGATTCCAATTCCCCATCTTCCCCTAGACCCAGAGCCTAAAGTTCCCAAACATTACTCTTTGAGGAAGGACAATGAAAGTGGGACCATCATATTCTAAAGGTGTGACGTCTAAGTTTAAAAGATAGGAGGGGAGCCCCTGCGGGCCCACTGGTTAAGAATCCGTCCTGCAAAGCTGGCGACACGGGTTCGACCCCTGGTCAAGGGACTGAGACCCCACATGCCGCGGGGCAACTAAGCCCACCCGCCACAGAGTCTGTGCGCTGCAAGGAGAGATCTCTCGTGCTGCAGCCAAGACTGATGCAGCCAAATAAACAGATATTTCTTTAAAAAGGAGCATTTAGCTGATCTGTTCATTTACCTGTTCTGCACAGTGCCAACGGCACCAGGGAATAAGAGACAGAGGTGAGCTGAGTGGGGAAGGGAGAAGCCCTGGTTGCCCTGGAGGCAAATGCTGGAGCTGGGCCTGAAAGACTAGCAGGCGCGTCACCAATGAGACAGAACAGGCAAGGGTCAAATGGAGCAGGAAGATAAATTTAAAGAAAGGCCTCTTCAATGAAGCCATTTCCCTTCACAAAGCTTCTGGGTAACTGGTTATCCACTATGCTGAGCAGCCTTCCCCCGGCTTGGCGGAACCCACCCTAATGACAGCCGTTCCAGTGGGGTGTGCAGCGAGACCCAAATGGCTCTCCTGCACCAGCCGTGGCCCCTTTTCCAGATCCCCCCATCCTCTCAAGAGTCCGCCCTTCTGCAAAATTTTTCCTATCAATGCAAATCTTCACTTTCAAAAGTCCTGGCCAAGAAGAGATAACACAATAGCCCTGAGATAGATGCTATCAAATGAATAACATGACTATGTAAGATAAAGAACAAATCTCTAGTCTCATTGGAAATCACATTCTGATTTTATTTTTTTCCCTTTCCCATATTCCTCTCTGCACTATTTCTTTCCACTAGTGCTTAATTTGATTTTGCAAGATAAGGAGAAAACAGAGAGCCAAACAATTCTATTTCAGCTTTGTGTAATCAGAGGGTGGATTATTCTAATTTGGCCCAGTCTCTCTTTCCTTCCCAGACCCTAACAAGAGGCAATTTTGCCTCCATCCAGATTTTTAATGATGTCCAGGTTGGTGAGCAAATCTTGGGCTAAAGGCCTTCTGATGAAAGTCCAGAATTTCAAAGGGCATAGGCAGCAGCTTTTAATTCAATTAAGCAAACACATTTTGAGTAACTATTATAGACAAAGCACAGTCTTAGTTACTATAAGGGGAAGCCGATAATTAAGCATTATATGGCATTTTCTCTTAAAATAGCTTAATATCTATTTACCCCATAAAACTTTGGGGCTTCCCCCACTCTCCCCCCACAAAACCCCCTGGAAGAAGGGAATGGAAACCCACTCCAGAATTCTTGCCTGGAGAATCCTATGGACAGAGGAGCCTGGCGGGCTATAGTCCACGGGGTCACAAAGAGTCAGATACAACTGAGATACTAACATTTAATACCCCATAAAGAGCCTTGGTTCCCAGGTGGCTCAGATGTAAAGAATCCACCTGCAATGCAGGAGACCTGGTTCAATCCCTGGGTTGGGAAGAGCCCCTGGAGAAGGGAATGGCAACCCACTCCAGTATTCCTGCCTGGAGAATTTCACGGACAGAGGAGCCTGGCGGGCTACAGTCCATGGAGTCGTAAAGAGTCAGACACGACTGAGCAACTAACACACTAAAAGAGCCTACAATTACCTTCATTTAAACTCAAAGATTTAGAGCCAAAGACTCAATTGCCGTGAGCTTTTAAAGTGATTTATGGTGAATTGGGCTCTGGACCTCTCAATTAACACACGGAAGAGTATGCTGGCCACTGGAAGTATAAGTTTAAAATCTTGACTACTGGAGAAAAAAAAAATTTTTTTTTAATGCTTTCCTCTTATCTTTCAGGTACTATTAAATTAATAGGACTTCCAGTGTGGATTGCAGGTCTGGATGGGGAGATAAAGAGGTGAGAAACTAGCTCCTGGAAACTGAACGGCCCGAGGCAAACTGGAGTAGACAGTGTGCCCTGGGCTCTCCCTGGTCACCAAACCGCTCCCAGCTCAGGGTCTCCTGCCTGGCTCCTGTCACACTCGGGGCTCTCAGAGAACTGGCGCAGGCTGCCTTCCACTGTTAACTCTATTCAGCCAGGCTGCTCTGGTTTTCTTGTTTCCCTAACCTTTAAACGAACACAGTTTACCTTCCACAGTAAAGTGAGCTAGGCCGGGGCCATTCGTTTTTGTTTTGCTGTGCTCTCATTTTTTCGTTTAAAGAATACATAGACTCTGCTTTTCGTTGTTTCCTCGCTAAGTCGCGTCTGACACTTTTGAGACCCCATGGACTGTAGTCCGCCAGGCTCCGCTGTCCACGGGATTCTCCGGGCAAGAATCCTAGAGTGGCTTGCTGTTTCCTCCTCCAGGGGATCTTCCTGACCCACGGATTGAACCCAGGTCTCCTGCATTGGCAGGGGGGTTCTTGATCACTGAGCTGCCAGGGAAGCCCTAGACTCAGCTTTATCATGACGCACAACCTGTTGCCTGCCCTATGGAAGACAGTAGGTCCTCACTGGAATTCGAGAAGAACAAAACAACACAAGGAAAATTTCTTGACTGTGCAGGTATTGGGGCAGCAGAACAAGGTGGGACATTCCTGTTGTTCTAAACATTCATAAAAATAAACCATCACTTAGAATGCTTTCCCAAGGTGAAAATTCTTGGGAATTTCACAACACAGAGTCTCTGTCCACCAGGCCATTGCTGGCCAATGGGCAAGACTGGCTTCTGGGAGGAGAACAAAAGAGCATAATAATAGCAGCTGCAAAGTAGTGTGGGTCTTGAACATAATGAATGTTGAAGATTTTTAAAAACCTGTAAACAGCTGGATATAGGTATAATACTGTTAGGGTACCAGTGATCTCTCTGGCAGTCAGGAAACCCACTGCCCTTCTTGATAGTTGACTTTTTACGCAGCCAACTGCATAAAAGGTTTTCTTTTTCTATTAGCTGATTCTACTCTTATGGTATAGCTAAAAGAAAAAAAAATAATGTTTTGAGACAGTCATCAAAATACAGTAACAGGTGATAAAATTTCCCCCAAAGAAAACTGAGTGGGGAGAGAGTTACATATTTCTGTTCATCTGTTCAGGTGTGCATCTGAAAATAAATGACAACATGAAGAGGCTTTCAAGGGTTGGGACAGTGTCTTCAGAATGTCCTGTGGCTCTAACTGCCCTAGGAACCTGCTACAGACATTGTACTCAAAACCAGACCCTGCCTGTGAACACTGTGGTCCAGAGATGGGATCCAGGTCACAGCTGAAGGTGATGGCAGGACTAGGGCCAGAGTTCCGGCACAATTATAGTTCGTTTCAACATAATTCCCATGTGCTTTCTCAGCTTGTTATCAGGGAAGAATTCTACTTCTTGGAAAACGGACTCAACCACCATTATCACCCACTCTGGGTTTCCTAAACAGGTCATCAGTGCGGCTCTGATGTTTGAGAATCCCCTGTACTAGCCCAGGCTGCTCAGAGCCTCTGAGAAGGTAAAACTCAAATACACGACACGGGGACAGAGCTCCCAGCTCCCTGGGGATAATAATCAAGACAGCACTAAAGGAAAGAAAGGTGGTGTGATATTCAAAATATATTTTTATGCCCCATAGAAAACTTCTGAGAGGTACTTGAGTAGTTCTGCAAGAACTTGAGTAGTTCTTGAGTAGTTTTCAAGAACTACTTGATTAGTTCTGCACGATACAATCATGGGATCGACCACCTTTTCCAAACCTAGGTCAGGCCCTTCCCAGAGAAAAACTGGGCTGCTTGAAGGCATACAAATGTGGCCAGTGATTTTGATGCCAAGAAAAGATACGGATCCTGAAAGAGCATGGTGGCATGAGGGGAGCCTGAGTTCATTTGTTCAAGTTAAGATGACCTGCTGCAGAGTCGGACACGGCTTAGCAACTAAACCACCACCAAGGTGACCTGTATCTTTCTATACGAGTCTCAAAAATTTTATTAGGAGAGCTTGAAGGAGTTTTTCCCTACTCAAAATAGTGTTTATTTACCGTATCTGAAAACTCTCAGCCTGCAGTAGGTACCAGCCAACCACAGAGCAGTACCATGTGTGGGTGTGCATGGGTGCTTAGTCGCTCAGTCGTGTCCGACTTGGCAACCCTATGGACGGTAGCCTGCCAGGCTACTCTGTTCGTGGGATTCCCCAGGCAAGAATACTGGAGTGGATTGCCATCCCCTTCTCCAGGGGATCTGCCCCACCCAGGGATTGAACTGGGTTCTCCTGCATGGCAGGCGGATTCTTTACCACGTCTGTGCATAACACGGTAAGTCATTTACTCAAAGGGAAAACAACAAAACCCAGCCACCCCAAATGAAGACAGAAGAGAACTAACTGATTTGTCTGTCGTCTTTCCCGTCAAGATCGCCCTCGCCTTCGCTTTGGTCAGCGGGAAGGACTTAATGTAGGAGTCATACAAATGCTTTGCCAGGGCCCGGAGGTCAGCAGACTCTGGGTTCAGTTGGTCGATATCGCTGGAGATCTCCGCCAACAGCTTCTCCTTCTCGGCCTGGGGCATGCGCCCAAACCTGATGGCTACAGAAGAAGAGAAAGGGCAGGATGCATCAGTGCATTCATTCCTGTAGATACATATATATATATTCCTGTGTGTATATATATACACATCACAACTTCTTTATCCTTTCATCCATCAGAGGATACTTAGGTAGTCTCCATGTCTTAGCTATTATAAATCATGCTGCAATGAACATGGGAGGGGTGGCAAGTGAATTAGGTTGAGTCTTATTAAAAATATTTTTGTCCTTTAATATCTAAGGGGTGAATTTGCAGTCATATCAGGCTTTTGACAATGAGTAAGGCTTCGTTCTCATGGTCAGTTTTTCCACTTTTAACATGTTTATTTTGCAACAGCTGTAGCCTGTAAGCGAGACTTGTATGAAAAATAAAACTACTGCTTTTCATATGACTGTTGCCAATAAGTTATGTTTTTCCACCTCTCTTTCTTGAGGGAAAAAATATGTGCATTTGGAGGTTTTGCAGGACTTGGCAATCATTTTATTTTCTAGCTCCTCTACAGTAAAACAAGGGGCAGTCTTATCACCACGATTAAGTAATTTTTAAGTTGGGGGTAACGTTTTTCAAACTATTTGGAGAGGACATTTAAACATCTGTCCAGGTTTCTCTCCAAAGTCAAGAAGAGCAAGATACTACAGCCTCATCTTCTGACTCTGAAGGCTTACATGACATCGTTTAATTCATTCACTGAACACCTGTTTGATGGAAGATACCGGCTCAACAAACTGGACCAGGGGACACAAGGATGAAAAGGATGTGTATGGCAGATCCAAAATATAAAAGAGAGCCTACATATGCATGGATTATTCTCTCCCTCTCCTGCTCTGCTTTCTACCAGCTCCTTCCCTTCCATCTAAGCAGCGTTTACGGTTCTGGCCCCAGTACGATCCCCCTCATGCTCTTTCCTCCACCACTGGACTTACTGAAAGAGCTATCGCCCCTCACTGTCTCACTCTTTGCCTCCCAACCCCCTGCAATCACTTCTCGGCCTTTTGGCGAGGATCAAGCGTAGCGAGGGGGCTTCCCTGGGGGCTCAGTGGTGAAGAATCTGCCTGCCAGTGCAGGAGAAGCAAGAGAAGCAGGTTCCATCCCTAGGTCGGGAAGATCCCCTGGAGGAGGAAATGGCAACCCACGCCAGTATCCTTGCCTGGAGAATCCTGGGGACGGAGGAGTCTGGCGGGCTACAGTTCACTGGGTCGCCAAGAGTAGGACATGACTGAGCACACAGCACCACTGCAGCCTAGCTTATCCTCATTTAAATTCACCAAAACTCTGCTCTTTCAAAGGCCCCTTCAGCTCCTCTAACGGCCACATCTAGGGGCCTGTTCTAAGTGTTCGTTCTGCTTGAGCTCCCCAGCTTCCTCCCAGCCCTTCACACTGCTGACCTTCTCCACCCTCTAATTTCAAAAGTTTCTCAGACTGGTCTCTGCCTCTCTGGCTCCCCATATCTTTCTGTCGGCTATTTTCCAGACCTCTGTGAAAGCCCCTCTTCCTTCATTTACATGCTGTTATTCCTAGCTCAAGTTTTCTCTCTAAGGCAGAAAATGTGCTAAAGACTCCTGCCCTCTCTTCTCTGAGATTTGTATCCTTGTTTTTCACTTCTTCCTGTGTCCCTTGGCCTGTGGATGCTGGATATTCTATAGGCACCTCAAGTTACTGGCTCAGTTGTGTTTCTTTGCCAACCCATGGACTGTAACTCACCAGGCTCCTCTGTCCACGGGGTTTCCCAGGCAAGAATACTGGAGCGGGGTCCCATTCCCTTCTCCAGGGGATCTTCCCAGCTCAAGGATCAAACCTGGGTCTCCTGCAGGCAGATTCTCAACCGTCTGAGCCATGATTTAACGTAATAGAAAATCAAACTTTTCATTTCCCCTTCAAATTGTCTCCTCTTCCTGTTTTCCTTTCTGGATTAACTCACTCTGTCACCCAAACTAAGCACCTCGAGCAATCTCTGACAACCTCTCTCCCCTCAGACGTGTGCATTCACTGGTCACGGCTGTGATGTTTCTTTCAATGCCGCCACTTCTCGCCCTGCCCAATGTCTGAGTTCACAATATTGCACTGGCCTCCTGATGGGCCTCCCTGACTTTTCCCTCTCTGACTTCTCCTTTTTTACTGTTTTCAGTAGTCTGGTTTTTGGCGAGACAGGTCTGTCTGCCCCCTTGCTTTCTGAGAACATGGTGCTTACAGCACCCAGAAGAGAAAGAATGGGGAATTAGAAACTGGCTGGAAGAGACGGTGTTTGAGTTGGGCCTTCAACACCAGCTAGGATTTTGACAGGGAAGGAAGGGCAGAGGAAGCAGAGCCCAGAGGTGTTCTATCACTGGGTAATTCGCAGCAACAGCCAAGAACACAGCTTGTCTGGAATGTAGGTGCAAAGAGCAGCAGTGGGAGAGGAGGTGGAGGCTGAAGTGTGGGCAGTAATGAACCCCGTGAAGGTGTGAGTACCACAGCCTCTGCCTTAGGACTTCGCACTCTGTTACATCTGCTGAAAGTTATTTGAATTCGGGGAGATTTTCCCCATACCACAAAGAAGACTAAAGAAACAAAAAGTAACATGTTGCAGTTTAAAGTCATTTGCCATTCCTGTTTTTCTTTTTTGCAACATACACTGGTGCTTTTGTTTGCAAGAAAGACAAGAAGTACCTTAAAATGGGGAGAGCCACAGAAATTTGTGAAACCACTTTTCTAGAATTTAACATGCTGCTAGGAAGTTATTTTGAAAGTTGTCTGCTTTTCTTTTTTAATTAAAAGAAAAAAGGCATCATTTATATACTATAACATCCTAATCAGTAAAGCGAGTGAAAATCTAAGTGTCAGTGGCTCAGTTGTGTCTGACTCCTTGCGAACCCCCGTGGACTGTAGCCCACCAGGCAGAGCCATTCTCTTCTCCAGGGGATCTTCCCGACCCAGGGACTGACCCGGGTTTCCCGCATTGCAGGCAGATTCTTTACCGTCTAAGCCAAAGATGCTTAACTCTGTAAAGCTAAGGTTTCACTAACTTTTCATATTTGTGAAAAATAAAACTTCTGTCTAAAGTGGATGGAATAGGGAAAACCTAGCTGTTTTCTTTTCTGTGCAGCCCATTTCCATAAAAAAAACCCCTCAAAATGGATTTTCTTAGTCATGTTTGCAATCCTGTAAATGCTAAAGTATGATCTTTGATACCATGATATTTAATCTCTTTCCTTTTTCACCTTTGTAAGAATTAACCGAACACTCTCTACAAGGCTGCTCCTCTCTCTTAATAGAGTAAGCTAATGGGCACAAAAAGGCAAAAGACGACCTAATTATCATGCTTATGCTAGCTTTGACTTTTCTGGAAAGAGAAAATTATACCATCAATACTATAAAAGTTGCACTTTAAATTATTTGCCTATAAACAATAAGCAATAAGAGATATATTTTAGATGAATGTGTGCAAACAACTGAAAACATATTGTGCTTCAATATGAAAAGTGACAATTTTTAAAGGACAAAAAGTAAATATAATTGAAAGCAAAACTGGCATCTTTTCCTACATGATATTTATAACAATGACCTCAAAGTCAAAGATTTCTTCATAAAGATAAAATAAATTTACTGCAACATGATCACATCACCTAAAATGTAATCCTTCAACTGAAAATGTACCCTTGCTTTACGAAGTCTGAAATAAAAAGGAAATTGGTAGAATTAAACCAGCAAATTATCCTGCAATTAATGACTGAAGTTGTATAGACAGCAGATGTAATCAATTGTTAGGAAAGTTGGACCAAATTTCTATCCTGTCTAATATAGTTGGTAGAACTATTCAAAATACATTCTTGCCTTTAGAGAAAATGACCCCATATTAATGATACAAATATAATTTTGTAAACCACTGTTAAAGGGTAGAAGACCTATTCAATTAGTGATTCCCAAATATCTTGGTTCTTGCTGTTAAAAATAAATCTGCATGATGGAACAAAAATTTAATTTTCACAGATGCTTTGGAGTCCTCATAGATGACGGCTGACTTCAAATATTATATCTTCTTACCAGATCAGTTTTGAGAGAGGAAAAGGTAAAAGAAAGAAAAAATAGGGCATACGATGACATGAGACTTCAGATTTAATTTGATTACTTTGGCATTTTATCAATGTATCTCTAAGCCCATAATAACTTTTGAAAGAATTGATGAATACTTGACAAATATAATACTACCAAGTTACATCAAAAATCTGTCTTGTGAGCCAGTCAACCAATAAGAGCCAAATGGCGATTAAGAGCTATTTCTTCAAACAGGGCTATCTCCCATGACTGTACTGAGTTAGTTCTTCAGTTCATGAAAACATGGGTCTTCAACAGTCCTGCCCTTAAGCCGACACTCCTAACTATAAGCTTCACTTAAGATACAGGTTCAAAAAAGTAGAATGCTTTACTCTCCTATTGAAGCTTTGTGGAACTTTAAAAAATACTTGCTTAATCCACAAATGGTATGCTGTACAAAGTGAAGGATAGGGTTCCGCTCATTTCTGCATAGTAAAGAGAAAAAAAGGACATATATCTATGTCTGATATACCACTAAAGTTCCATATCCATAAATCAGAATTTTCTTACATTTAAAGTAGAAACTAATGTTTATAAAACAGATACCTAGCAATAATCTGCTGTCTAGCACAGGGAACTTTGCTCAATACTCTGAATGACCTACATGGGAAAAGAATCTTTAAAAAAAAAAAGAAAAAGTGGCTATATGCATATGTTTAACTGAGCCACCTTGGTGTACCCCTGAAACTAACCCATAGCTGTAAATCAACCATGCTCCTATAAAATAAAAAAATAAAATAAAGTAGAAACTATTTACACTTACAATTCTTTTTTTAATACTATTAAAGCAACACAAAAAATTAATCACAACTTCATATTACATGTGTTTCAGAACTCTACAGTAACTTTCATTACCGCCCAGACTTCCCAGTCTTTTCTCCCATCGTGGCAAATGCCCAACTACAAGAGAGAAGGATTCACACTTAAAGCTGAACAACTCTGACCTAATTGAGAGACGCTTTATTGGCATGCAATATTCTGAAATCTGGCAATCTGTGGGAAAACTGTACACGTTTTCAGCCACAGCCCTTGGGTCTACGGATCTAGCAGATGTGATGAGAAGCATCGAGTGCGGGGCACAAAGTGCTCACTTACCATTATGAGACATCCCCACAGCAAGGCACTTCTGAAACCGACAGTACTGACATTTATTTCTACTTTTCTTGTGGATCCGACAGTTAAGATCACACCTATCATAAATAAGTTTCAATCTGATTGTCCTCCGGAAGAAACCCTACAAAGGAATATTGGTGGGGGGGGGGGGGGGAGAAGCAAGTGTTAAGTGTTTGTGACAATGGCTTAAACCCACACTGGCCTGAGTATTAGATACTGTAGGCTCTTGACACATTTCGTCAGTGGTGACTTTAGACAAATCACTTAACCTCTCCCGGTTTTCTCTGCTATAAACTAAAGAAACAGAGGATCGCCAGTGTCCCTTTTTTAGCTCTTAGTGACCACAACCCACTGATGTCATTCAGAGCATCTTGGCCCCACATCTGGATTTCAGCAAGCCCTAAGAAGTGCTCTGGATTTAATGTAATGCAAATAAAACACCATGTAATCAGTTCAGTCTCTCTGTAAATCATTCCAGCAGCATGCCCTAACCTTATAATTGTGCTAAGCAGTTTGGCAAACTTAGAGTCATTTCATTCTAAAACATGAGCAAGGCCAATAAAAATCCACATGTGGGTAATTTTTTTGGAATTCTCTATGTTGCATAATTTCCTACAAAATTGGTTTCATTTATTTATGCATTTGAAAGAGTGTTCCATAATCACTGTAGCCTACAAACAGAGATAAGAGAAAATAACAGGAGATGTAATATATAAGTTCTCAGAAACTTGACCACTATCTCAAAATAGCAAACATGTCAACTTGAGGCTGAATTCTGCTATGTTTATTTTTGAAAGACCTGAAAAGATTCTAACGAGAAATGTTTTCTAACTCCATCTTGTTGTTGCTGAGAATATTTCTACTCATTTCTATTGCATTCATTTTCATGAAACTCACTTTTTAATTCTTTCAAATTTATCTGGCCCTGTTTGAATACAAAAAGCACTGAATGAGGATTGATTCTACCACTGACATGCATTTTGACTTTCTCCAGATTTCTACCTTGAACTCTAGACAAGTATGTTAAGCTGTTTACTTGACAACTTCACTTGGAAATCTAACGTTACCTCTAGCCCAGCACAACCACCACTGAAGTCCTGGTCACACCCTATGAGCTTACTTTACTGCAACTTTCTCCACATTAGCTGTCACAACCCCAGACCCGGAGGCACTCTCAACTTCCTTCTCTCATGCGGAAAGCTCATGCTGGAAACATACAATCACCTGTTTCCCTGACTGCCTTCAAGCTGTGTTAACGTCTCAGCATCTTAATGAGTCTTATCTCCCTTATTCACTACTGTGGGCTGTCCCTGTCCCCACCTCTCACTGGCAGTTCCTGCCCTCCTTTATTCTGCTCTTACCCGCCATCTCCCCACTCCATTAGCAGTTATGACTTCCTAGTGTACCACATAATTTAGTTATTTATTTTCTGCCCCTCCCTTACCGCCCAACTATAATTCTGAGCTCCCTGGGGACAGGGATGGTCTCTTATGTCCCTGGATGTAACCCGAACACTAACAATAGTGCCCCATTAAATTTTTTTGTTGAATAAGCATGTGTCATTTAACTTCCTTTCTGGGCCATCTCTGATATTTTGAGATTCTAAACTATGACTGAGATATTACAAGGTCAGTGGCACACTTTTTTCCTTTCAGTTTTTGAAGCTATCTTATTAAATGTAATAATTACAAACATGTAGGAAATACATGTAACTGTGAAACATACTGGGCTCCCCTGCTGGCTCATATGGTAAAGAATCCACCTGCAATGTGGGAGACTTGGGTTCTGTCCCTGGGTTGGGAAGGTCCCCTGGAGAAGGGAATGGCTACCCACTCCAGTATTCTGGCCCGGAGAACCCCATGGACAGAAGAGCCTGGTGGGCCACAGCCCATGGGGTCACAAAGAGTCGGACACAACTGAGTGACTTTCACTATAAATAACAATAACATAATTATCACACATGAGCCCATTATCCAACTCAACACTTAAAATCATAACCAGCCACGTGCATGCACTTATGTGTTCTTCCCTTATCCAACTGCCACTCCTGTGGCTGCTTGACAATATAATCATAACCCTAATTTTGAGCTTATCATTTCCCTGACCTTTAAAAAAACACAGCTTTATCATACAGCCTATAAACTAAATAATACATTGCCTAGGTATGCTTGATTGAGGGCTTTATTAAGTAGTATCATACTACATATGGATTTTGCAAATAGATTTTCCTCTCTATGGCTTACTATCCTTGAAGAATACTGCTTCAGTCTTTTTAACTTTTTAACTTCAGTTTTTTTTTTTAACTTGTAAACCTTTTCATTTTGCTCTCATTCTTGAAAGAGTCACAGGGTACTCAGTTTTTCCTCTTTAACAATCTGGATTCCATTGTCTCTGTGCTTTCATTGTTTCCATTGAGATGTCTGTTGTCATCTGACCTTGATTTTGCACTTAATTCTCTTTGTTTCTTGTACTCTGCAGTTTACCGCAGTGTGTCTAGCCAAGGGTTTCTTTATTTTCTTGGACATTTTCTGCATCAGGGTCTCACTAGTTCATTGGTTCCTGTACTCCACTTAGACTTTCTTTTTAAGCCTTCAGTATTTCTGAATTTCTCTTTTATACTTTTTATCTTCTTGCCATTAATGTTGATCACAAGGGTAAACATCAGAACAGCCAAATAAGATGACCAAAAAAAAAAAAAAAAACTTCTGCAATGGCAAAAGTAGGGAAAAGCAAACATTTCTCACCAAAGTTCATCAGTGAGAAGAGTTCTGTATATTACTCTTCATTAGTAAAGAAGACATTTTTAATATTCAAAGACCTTATGAATTCTTCAAAAAGTAAAAGAGGCTTCAAATTCTAGCAGATTCCAGGTGGGATATGTTCTTTAAGACATTGTTGGTTTCATTCTTAATAACTTCTTTGCACATATCTTTCAGTTTGGTAATCCTTTTTTTCTGCTGTGTACAGTATGCTATTTAACCCTTGCATAGCATTTTTATTTCAATGATCGTATTTTTCACTTATAGAAGTTTCACTTATTTTCAAGACTGTTGGTCATTCTTGATAGTCTATTATTGTTCATTTATTGCTATGATTCTGCCCTCTATCTTTAAACAACTCATACAGAGCTGTACGTTCTGGATCAGGCAGTTCCAATATCTGCATTCTTGGGTAAGGGTGGAGAGTTCTGTTTGCTTGTTTACCTCTGATGAATGTCATCAAGCAAGCTGCCTATTTATGTGCTTGCTGATATTTTATTTTGAAGTAATTTCTTGACCTTAAATTGTGAGAATCCTACAGGGTCTAAATCAGGAATTCTTTCCTCCGAAGAGAATTTGAAGATCCTTCTGTTGGAAGTCAGGAGTGCCACTGACTCATGACTATTTCAGACTCTCTTGGGAATTCTGGCTCAACTCAGAAGCTGGGCATCTATCATGAGGAAACTCTGTCCCTCCAAGTGTGCCTGCAGCTCAGTTCAAGACCTAGGATTATTTGCTTGTTTCGCTACTAATGTTTTAGAGAGTTTTTCCTACCTCTTGTGAGATCAGCAATATCTCAAAGGATATGTCCTATGTAGGGTATGCTGGAAAGGAAGGTAAACCTCTTTAATTCTCAGAGGGTTCTAAGACGCTTTGAATATTTAAAAGGCATTTTCCCCCTGACTGATTCACAGAAGGCTAAAGTACAGAACTGTTGCCACTGTTAAATACTGTGGAGAAATCTTGCTTTGATTTTTGCCATTGGATCATACATTTTCAGGATACCTTTGGCTGCTTCTCTGAGTTTCACTTTTAAAGCCCAATACTAGTAGTTGAAAATGCTGCTCGGCTATCCGACAGGTCCCAGAGTACTTACTTTTTTGGCATGGTTGAAAATGAGGACTTTTAATAAAATAACTATGTTTTTTACGTTTAACGTTCATAATGTGATTTGTTTTTCGTGTTGACCCCTATGAAGTCTTTCAAAGAGTATCACATTTTTTGTAATGATTCCAATGTTAAAGGATCATCATTCTCTATATCATATATGCACTGGCCATGCATATAAAATCTTGAACTAAGTATATACAACCCCCAGCATAAGCTTGGAACTGCTTTTACTTTAAAAAATTTTTAAGACTAAGTTCATGATAACCAACTGCTTTCTTGTCATCTGACTTTTTCAAGAAACCTAGAGAGGAAGATACAAGGCTCTCACTTAGTTTTTTGTAAAAAATTATTTCTTTACTTGGTGAATGAAGCAGGCTTCCCCAAAATTTTCTTCATTGCCAGTAAAGAAACACTCATTTTTATTATATCAGTGTCCATACAATGAAGTGCAATTTCAACAGCTCACAGTTCTGATCGCCATGAAGTCTATGAACTGGTGTGATGGAGATGCATCAGTCACCATAAAACGCTTTGTGTATATTTTTATTATAAAATCTTCACACTTGCTTGTGAGAACATAAAGCCTGCTTATTTCTTCCTTAAAACATTTTCTCCAACCTCTCCTTCATTGCTTTACTAGTAAAAAAACTTCAGGTACAATGAGATCTAAGAGTGGTATTTAAATTTTACAACGAGATTAAATGCCCTGCGTTGGACCTGCAGTCAGCTTTAACATGAAACCATATGGCCCACAGAGGCTGAATCAATGATCTGCCCCTGGTGCATGGGAATATACTAAAAACTCTTCCTGAGGTAGAAATACAAAAATACATAGAAATATAAAAATAGATTATACAGTATTGTATGGTAGTATTTCCTTGTATCTTTACTAAGTCTATGGTTCTAAAATGATCTTTCACTATAGACATAAAAATATTATGAAATCTATCATGGAAAAAAATGTCCAATTTGTAAGCAAGCAATGTCAGCTTTCTAAGTTCTAAAGTATATGAATCTTTCATTAGTTCCAGGTTGTATATTACCTAAGTCTGTAATATTAATAACTGAAGAATCTATCACTGTTTTCTTGTAATCCAAATCCAAACTTTTTATTCCTGTCTGAACTTTGGCAAGGGTCACCAACATAAAACTGTTCCACTGGCATGTAAATATGCTTAAGAAGATCTACTGACAGCTATCTTGAGCAATATAGCTATTTTTTTCCTATCGTAAATTAGTTTGTAGGTTTGTGGTCAACTGTATTTTAGTGATGGGTATATCCCACATTCTACTGAAATGACAAATGTTAAATTGCCAAAACACCCTTTTCTAACACGGTCTAACACGTGTGTTAATTTCACTTTCCCTGAGTATTGTTGGTGAGCTAAGGCCGAGTCTTTTTAAGGTTTATTTATGGCTATGACAGGTCTTCACTGGGGCACACTGGCTTCGTCTGGCTGCAGCAGGCAGGGGTTACCCTCTACTTTCGGTGTGTGGGCTTCTCAGGGCAGAGGCTTCTCTGGTCGTGGAGCACAGGCTCTAGGGTATGTGGGCTCAGCAGTTGCGGTGCATAGACTTACATGCCCTGGGGCATGTGGGATCTTAGTTCCCAGACCAGGGATTGAACCCATGTCTCCTGCATTGGCAGGTGGATTCTTAACCCCTGGACCACCAAGGAAGTCCCATTAAGGTGGTCTCTTTGATTACTGATGGGCACTGGTCTAACTGGTCTAATGACGGCATTCAGAGTGTGGCAGCAATTCTGTTTAACTCCAAGGCACCAAAGAATGAGTGAGCATGTCTTCAGGCTCATACCTTATAACAATAGTTCTCAAACTTTTTGGTCTCAGGACCCAAAACTTTACTCACCCAAAAACGTTGAGGTTTCTAAACAGTTTTAATTTATGTGAGCTATACCTATTGACGTTGATCAGACTAGAAATAAAACCTGAGAAATTATCATGTACAAGAACAATCAGGTCACATTCCATCAGGCATTAGAACTACGCTACCATTCCATGTCATGTAGCTTCTAGAACACTTCACTTTACATTCCTGAGAGCATGAGAGTGAAAAACAAGCTAATATTATTATGAAAATAGCATCAACCTCATGGTTATCTTGAAAAGGTCGTAGGGATCCCACCCCCAAACCACACTTTGAGAACTGCTGACATACTTGGAGAAGCCAAATTATATTATTCCTCTAACATTTTTCTTATCTTTAAAATGGGCAGATGCCTATTTTCCCTTCTGTGGTGAGCATAACCCTCTTTGTATTTTAGTCTTCTTGTTGTTGTCGTTCAGCCACTAAGTCGCGTCCCACTCTTTGCAACCCCATGGACTGCAGTGCGCCAGGCTTCCCTGTCCTTCACTATCTCTCAGAATCTGCTCAAATTCATGCCCATTGAGTCCCTGATGCTATCTAACCACCTCATCCTCTGTTGCTCCTTCTCCTTTTCCCGTCAATCTTTCCCAGCATCAGGATCCTTTCCCACGGTTGTCTCTTCCCGTCAGGTGGCCAAAGCAGTGGAGCTACAGCTTCAGTATCAGTCCTTCTAATGAATATTCAGGGTTGATTTCCTTTCCTAGGAAGACTGTAATCTTTATTTTGGGCGGTTTGCAAGTTACTAGAGGTTACTATACAATACTGTTAATTTTCTTCTACTGCACTTGCTTGTCCGTCTCTGGTAGGTGAAGGACTCCTCTGGACTCATCAGGTTTTAAGTGTTAATTCTCTGTCTCTGCCTTAGAACATTTCTGTTTGTAACTAGAGGGCATTTGAGTTTTCTCCTTCCTCTTTTCTCTTCTTTTTGCTACTTTTCTTCTTTGCTTGCTTTGCTCTTCTAAGTTTTTATGCTCTCAGAACTTAGCTTTAACACTATAAGCAACTGCTGACAATATCTGTCTTTCAATTTTTGGTTGATTGGTTAGTCCTTAAATCGCAATTCAATTTTTAGCTGTTCTCAGAAATGTTAACTCTCCACAAATATCTGATGAATAGAATCACAGTGAAACTATTTGCTTAAAACTTATAGTTTTCTAACTGCTTTACCAGCCCATAAAAAAACAATATTGTGGAAACTTAACCAACCCTACTTTATTTATCAGCATAAATTACCAAGATGATCAAAACTAGATGATTTCCTCAAGTTCTTCTAAGAATTTAGCCACAATTTCCTCAAAATTACATAAATCTAACAGAGTAAAATGACAGGTTCTTACTACTCCTTGAGAACATAATGATTTCCTATAAGGTTACAGATATTTTAGTTTGGTTTCAATCACTGAATGAATGAGTTTTCATGTTTTAAATAAAAGCATCTCTTGCCAGGAGTCATTTTGGAATTTTTAGACCCAGAGATGAATCAGAAGCCCTTTGGCGAGCTACTCTAGCCAAATTGTTTTATACATGAGTGACTGAGGGCTGAAATCCTCATGTGATTGGTTACAGACCGTGGACAAGTGGCCAGGTAACCACTAACTTGTCTCTTTCACTTTATTAGGTTGCCTTTAGAAAAATAAACTTTTGGATTGAAGAGGCTTTAGTGATCATCTAAATCAACACCATCATGTTATAGATGTGAAAACTTAGGCAGGATATGGTTAAAAATATAATATATACAAAGGCATCTTGCACAGTATCTGGTGTATAGCAGAAATTCAGTAAATATTAACTCCCTTTTTTGGCTCATGGTCCAGTTAGGAACCCAGATCTTCCAACCTATCTAACTGCTGTCACATATCTTCATTCTGAACAAAAAGCCCTACTGATAATTGAACCTGATCTTACAGAAGCAGCATTATTTTATAAGGTAAACACTTATCAACAATTTATTCTGAGCCCTAGAGTATATAATAAATACTATTCAATTACTATTTTATTCATGGAGCCTATTAGAATTAATTCCTTTAAAAGAAACTACATTTTAAAACATGAGTAGATTAACATTTTCTCAATAGTTGGGCAGAATATTACTAAATGAACTTTCCAAAATAGCCTTTTTCACAAAGAAAGGAGGTGAAGAGAAAGGGTATCTCTTTTCCAAAATGACTGTATCTCTTTGCCTGACCATAACTCATGGCTCACACTGATGCTGAACAAGAAAACATACAGTATCGGTTTAGGAGTCAGAAGGTGTATGGATCTGCCACTTACAGTGGATGACCATGGGAAAATCTCACTGACACAAGATTTCTACACCTGCAAAGTGGCCATAAATAAGCTCAACCTTATAGGACTGTGGTAAGGCTCAAATGAAGGTTATCTATCTATCTACATATACAGAATATGACATGGTATAGTGGAAAGAAAAAATATTAGGAGATTCAGGAAATCTGGGTTCTGTTCAGGGTCAGCCTGTCACTGTCATGCCATGTTACCTTGAACAAGCAATTTCTTTTTTTGTAATCTGCAAACTGTGAAGCTTGAATTAGATCAGCGCTGCACAGGACCAATTTGGAAAAAAGGAAGTGAGGCACAGTAGCCTTGCTTTTTAACAATTTTCTTAGGTTTTCAAGTATTATATCATCTAAAGAATGGGTTTCACCAAAGATATTTAGAAGTTTGACAGCTTTGTCTCAGTTCTTTGCCATCTGTTTGCAACAGGAAATGAAAACCTAGGTACATTTTCAGCAAATTATTTCAAAAACGATCTTTTTTTTTTACCTTGCATCCTTCACAAGCATGAACTCCATAGTGGAACCCTGAAGCTTTATCCCCACAGACCCGGCACTCAATGGCCATGAGGGAACTGGAAGGCTCTTCATGAGGCTTACTGTACAGCTGAGTCTTTTCAGAATAGTAAGGTGGGGACACAGGCTCCACTTTGATTGCACCTGTGTACAGAAAAACATGAGCAGACAATTATCACAGGAAAAACAACGCGAAACAGGCAACAGGGCATGTCGCTATCGTACACCTTATCATCATATTTTATTAATTAGGTTAGATGCACTATGGAACATGAAAAAGACACAGGAAAAAGTGGACTTTGTAATCACATGCAAGTCACAACGCCTCTGAGCCTCACCTGTGAAAACAAATTGGGAGGGGAATTAAGTTTGTGGTTCTATGGCCCTCCAATACCTCATAATACTAAAGTTCCCACAGGAAATATATAATATTTGAGATCATGAAGGTTATTTTTCTATGGGCTGTATTTGGCATTCATGACAATATTAAATTATACATTTCAACTTCAATATTGCATTTTAGAAGCGTTTTTAAACCACTCTTGCAAAGGAAACACAAAAGGAACTGAGAAGGAAATGGTATGCCCGGCTTGAGGGTACATGAAAAGTAAGAGACCAGGTTCTCATCAATGTTGCGTCAGAAAAGATGGGTTGTAAAATGATCTTTGATAGAGAGAGACACTTTGGAAAGCAAGCACTATCTTTCCCCTGGTCAGTATCAAGCCTATTAAATTTCCATATTAGGCTTCAACTGAAATCACACATGTAAATATAACCAAGTATATAATTTATCTTAAAAAAACTAGAAATACAGGAAGTTCTTACTTCTTGTCAAGTAATGGCTGCCAATTACACAGTGGTTGCTCTGGAAAACCAGCATAACAGCAAAAAGATAAAAATCAAGGAAATAGCATCACAGAAATTTATCTTATCTTGAAAAGTGCAGTTTTAGTTTTTCTTGATGTGAACTGCATTAATAGCATGGAGATTTATCAAGAGTCTACAATGTCAACATTCAAATTTGTGCTGAAAAATAGGTAAGCTGTTCAAAGGGCAGAATTAGGAAAACTGCATTATAGTAATAGTGATTTAGTGATAAGTTATAGGAGGTAATAAACTATTACTTGTCTACTTAAAAGTAGAAACAATGAATCAAAATTTGGGGGGGACGGACACTTAGCCTGAGATACAGCTAGCAGTGTAATCAGGCTGGAGACTGTCCCTGAGAAGGACAGAAGAAAAGAAAGACAGGAGGGAAGAGGGGGAAAAGGAAAGATGATCCAGGGTGTTCACAGACTACCGGCCTTGTTGGTCGGTTACATGCGTGTGTCAGCTCAGTCACACAGTCATGTACTCTTTCCAACCCCATGGACTGGAGCCCACCAGGCTCCTCTGTCCATGGGATTTCCCAGGCAAGAATTTTCTGGACTGGGGTGCCATTTCCTCCTCCAGGGGATCTTCCCGACCCAGGGATCAAACCCATGTCTCCTGCACTGCAGGCGGATTCTTAACCACTGAGCCACCTAGGAAGTGAAAGTGTTAGTCACTCGGTTGTGTCCAACACTTTTTCCCGAGAACTTTTGCCTGCCAGGCTCCTCTGTCCATGGAATTCTCCAGACAAGAACAAGGGAGTAAGTAGGTAGCCATTCCCTTCTCCAGGGGAATCAAGGATGGAATCTGGGTCTTCTACATTGCAGGCAGATTCTTTACCATCTGAGCCACCTGGGAAGCCACTGGTCAATTATAAATGCTTAGTATTTCATGGACAAGTGGATGAATAAATGAATGGTAAATGTCTTCACCACAGCCATTAGTCCTGGGAGCATTTACCCTACTGTGGACGGGAGATTAGTCCAATCCTAGTCTCAACAGTCTGAAAAGTGAAATAAACCTCATACTTTGGTACTCTTGGAGCTTCAGGTCATACTTATAATCTGCAACCATCGGGTCAGCTCTTGGGAATGGAATGTCCTCGTAGTGCGGAGCGGAAATGCTGGAGAAGTCAACGGTGGTGAAGGGCTTGATGTCAAAGGCATGGGAGTGGTCATCCATCATAGAAAGGTCCACGGAGCTGATCCCAAAGTTGGTGGGCCAAAACGGCATCTCTGTGTCAACCATGGTAATTTCTGAAACAAAGAAAAGACCAGCTGTGACGTTAGTCCTGAGGACTGGGCAGTCTCGTGAAGACACACAGAAAGGGAACAGAAAGAGTCTCAGGTCAAGATGTCACCTAGGTGATCACGAGGAGAGAGGCGAACACAACCGCCTTCTTAGTGCCGTGCAGGCTGCTGAACTAACCAACGGGGGTCACCCCTTACCTGGACGCCACGATCGAGGCGCCTCTGGCAGTGTCAGCCTGTGCAGCAGGCCCACACCAACGTCCTACAGACAGCCCTGCTCTCCCTACAGCTGGATGGCTTTCCTAAGGGTATCTGGGAATGGGCTTCTTGCATTTTCCCAGCGAGCAGAGAGCTAAAGAATGCAGCTCTCACAGGCTGACTCTTGCAAGAGGTTAAAGATTCTAGCTGTGGTCTTCGTAAGAAAAACAAAGTGCCTCGAAAACACAAATAAGGAGATGAGTGCTGTGAATGTGCTTCAGCGGCTCCAAGAGGGCTCATCAGGCGCTGTGTGGGTTCGCACGTCTGAATATCTGCACGAATAAGGATGCAAAAAGCCTGACGTTATCTGTGTTATGGTACAAACCCTACACTGCTGACCGTCTGGAGCTCCCACTGGGTCTCAATGACATCCAGAAAACAGTGTGCGCTCTTAGTGACAGGGGCATCCGTTGAACTGCATCTTTTGTTCTGAACATCACCTAAACCTACCTAACCCAGGACGCATCATTTACTTTGCCCATCTCCTCAGTCTGATTATTTTATTTTTCTCCAGCCATTTTTCTTAAAATAAATCATTTTCCTATGAAAAGACACCTCTCTTGTCTCACCTGCAATATCCACAAATGTGGGTTATGCTGACCGCAGAGTTCTTCTGAAGACCAAAGTAAAGGTTGACCACACTAAAGGTAGTGTATATGCTGCTGTATCAATACCGGGAAATAAAAATAGGGATGCAAAACATGTCTGGGTTGCAAGTAAAGTTGTTTGCTCATCATTTTACTGGTTTAATTTTGTTTCACTTTTAACATATGACTTCAGTGACTGCCTGCCAACCCATGTCAGGCTTCTCAACACAGGAATCATATCCCTAAGGGTCATTAGTTTTATTGAAAAGTTTTGGGGGAAATTTTAATGATAAAATAGCTATTTATGTGTAAATAAATAGAATGAAAAATTTATCTGATTTTAAAGATATGATTCTGAACTCCTAAAAAACTTTATACTTAAAGTACATTTCATAGCTAGAAGAACACTAATTTTTTTTAAACAGACTGTATTTTTTTAAGCTTTTAAAAATATGGACCATTTTCTAAGTCTCTATTGAATGTGTTACAATACTGCTTCTGTTTCATGTTTTGGTTTTCTGGCCACAAGGCATGTGGGATCTTAGCTCCCGGACCAGGGGATTGAACTCTTGCCCCCTGCATCAGAAGGTGAAGTCTTCACCCCTGGACTGCCAGGGAAGTCCCCAAGAGAATAGACTATTTTACTTTTTTTTTTTTTTGTGAAGTCACTCCGTCGTGTCCGACTCTTTGTGACCCCATGGACTGTAGCCTACCAGGATCCTCAGTCCATGGGATTTTCCAGGCAAGAATGCTGGAGTGGGTTGCCATTTCCTTCTCCAGGGGATCTTCCCAACCCAGGGATCGAACCCGGGTCTCCTACATTGTGGGCAGATGCTTTACTGTCTGAGCTACCAGGGAAGCCCAGAATAGACTATTTAAAAAAGCAGCTTTAGGTTTACTTAAATATTGGGCATAAAGTATAAAGCTCTCCAATACCTCTTCCCCTTTCTCCCTCCCCACCAAACCCTGAAACACACAGTTTCCCCTATTAATAATTGACATTTCCCCTATTATTAACACTTACATTAATGTGGTACTGCTTGTTACAAAACTGATGAACCAACAGTGATACATCACTAACTAAAACCCACAGTTTATAGTCGGGTTCACTCTTCTGCGTTGTCCATTCTACGGCTCTGAATGTATGACGTCCCTGATCCACCATCACAGGATCCTAATCTCCTTGCCCTAAACGCCCCTTGTGCTCCACCGATACACCCCTTCCTCCCCCAAGAACGCTAACTTTGTTGTCCTCTTCTCCTAAAGGCAATCTGCTGCAAAAGCAGGGGAAACACTGATCGACGTGCAATAAATTTAAAAGTCTTCACCCGTCATGCAAGCACCCCGACAGTCTGACTTTTCCAGTGTCATTTTCCACTTGGGCTCCCTGACCTCACCCCCTCCTCGGCAGTCATATGCTTGGGCCCCTCACACCACGTGCCCAGGGCAGACACTCTGCACTGTCTAGTCCGCTCATCTCTGTTCACGCCATTTCTGGGACTCCTCGGGCTCCTCCCATTCCTCACGATCACACGTCACGATGCCCGTCTGTCTATCCCACAGGAGTGGGGAAAATCCCATACTGGTCCACATGCTCCTTGATCCATGAAACCTTCCATGAATTCTCCAACTGAAAAAAATATCCTCCCTTCTCCGTGTTCCCACAGCACTGAGCACACCTCTTTCACTTTGGTATAATTATTTAAACAAATATCTCCGCTGTTCGATTTCCAGTTTTTGGAGCAAAGGACAGTGTCTTATTATTCTGTTTTTCCTTCAGACCTTGTTTACTAAATGCTTGCCAACTCAATGATCATATTTTATAGGGAAGGCCAGAACAAGTATTCATTTCTCTGAGGAAAATGGAAAAAATAAAAATACTTTCTCAGCGGTTTAGTTTTGCTAAGACTGAAGCTCCCCAGAAAGATGTAGCTTTCAGTGTCATAAATAAAACACAGTTTAAGCTGTATCTCCTCCTCTCAACAATGTATACTCAGTTTTTCTCTTCTGATAATCGCAGCAGAAAGATTAGAGTCCTATAAACTGTTTTTCCCCCTACACAGAAAGGACAAAGTAAGAAAGAAAACAGTTCGCTTCTTCATCTCTATGAAAACAAAGCATTCGACGTGTACCTTCCTTCCTCTCCTTCCCTCTCCCTGTCCTCTCATCCTGGGACACCTTGACCTAAACAATAGTACTCCACCGGCCACAGTTACTGGGAGGCACAGTGGTTCCCTAGAGGTTTTATTTTATTTTGACTTAAGAGATGGGTCCAGGGAGCCTGCTTCTAATTTTGTCTCTAGAAAACATAAGCTACTGTTTCTGCCAAGCTGTAAGGCGAGTAGGTGTTTTTCGTTACCCCATGCAATTACCCGTGGAAGAACACGAGCAGACCACTTGCACGAACAGCATCTCCACCTTCCAGCCAGGTGACGAGTGCACTGCGTTAGGCACAGCCCTTAATTTCACAACTGTAGGTGTGTTTCAAGCAGACGGCAGTCCTGGGGCAGATGTTGTGGGGTAGGACACGAACATGTGCCCTTTATCTCAGACCATCAACCCTGCCTTTAAACTCTGCGACAGTTCATGAGCAGATTTTTTCGCAATGTGCCAAACTACAGTGTATTTCATTGCAAAGAGACACATGATGCAAAGTAAAGCAACTTCTCTCACCCGAGAGGTGTCACTGTTCGGAAGTACAGAAGTGGGTCAGGAAAGATTTTAAATGATAAGTCGAGCACTAGAACTATACAGTCTACCTGTCAGGGTTTATACTGTCTCCTATGAAAGGAAAAGAAAACCTTCTAGAATGTCCAGGGAAATGCTGCATCTCCTTAATAATTGTTGTTCAGTTGCTAAGTCATATCCAATTCTTTTTTTTTTTTCAGAATGACTGCATTTTTATACAAAATATTTACATGCCTAAAATTCTGGCCAGAAAAAGTTAGATAAGAATCACCTGGGCCAAATGGGCTCTGCATTTTTACTTATTTATTTTTTCACAATTATTTTTATTAGTTGGAGGCTAATTACAATATTGTGGTGGTTTTTGCCATACACTGACATGAATCAGCCATGGATTTACATGTGTTCCCCATCCTGAGCCCCCCTCTCACCTCCCTCCCCATCCCATCCCTCTGGGTCATCCCAGTGCACCAGCCCGGAGCACTTGTCTCATGCATCCAACCTGGACTGGCGATCTGTTTCACACTTGACAATACACATGTTTCGATGCTGTTCTCTCAGATCATCCCATCCTCGCCTTCTCCTATAGAGTCCAAAAGTCTGTTCTATACATCTGTGTCTCTTTTTCTGTTTTGCATATAGGGTTATCGCTACCATCTTTCTAAATTCCATTTATATGTGTTAGTATACTGTATTGGTGTTTTTCTTTCTGGCTTACTTCACTCTGTATAATGGGCTCCAGTTTCATCCACCTCATTAGAACTGATTCAAATGAATTCTTTTTAATGGCTGAGTAATATTCCATTGTGTATATTTACCACAGCTTTCTTATCCATTTGTCTGCTGATGGGCATCTAGGTTGCTTCCATGTCCTGGCTATTATAAACAGTGCTGCAATGAACACTGGGGTACACGTGTCTCTTTCAGATCTGGTTTCCTCGGTGTGTATGCCCAGGAGTGGGATTGCTGGGTCATATGGCAGTTCTATTTCCAGTTTTTTAAGGAATCTCCACACTGTTCTCCATAGTGGCTGTACTAGTTTGCATTCCCACCAACAGTGTAAGAGGGTTCCCTTTTCTCCACACCCTCTCCAGCATTTATTGCTTGTAGACTTTTGGATAGCAGCCATTCTGACTGGCGTGTAATGGTACCTCATTGAGGTTTCATATCCAATTCTTTGCAACCTCATGGACACGCCAAACCCCCGTCCCTCACTATCTCCTGGAGTTTGCCCAAGTTCATGTCCACTGAATTGGTGATGCTATCCTACTATCTCTCTTGCCTTAATAAATACATTAGCTGAAGCCTGGAGTGCTGCAGTCCATGGGGTCGCAATGAGTTGGACACAGCTGAGTGACTGAACTGAGTATTAATAGAACCCTGAATTTTTGCTGAGTCTTGTGCCAAATATCATCTCACTTAATGCTCACAATGTCCTGTGAAGTAGGTATACTTGTAAATCTCTTTAAAGAAGAG